TTGTCCCAAATTCAAGTTTTTTTCGAGCCCTGTGTAGTTAAAAGTAATGTGATGCATGAATTTTGTTAAGATTATTTTGTGCGTGAAACGAGATCACAACCCTGCCTTGGCTACCCTCCACATAAAGGACTACTCAATACATAAACTAATGGCACTTTGCTGGGTTAAGTTACTATGGTAATGATATAACACTAATAAGAACAGTTCATCTTAAGTCCAATGCACTAACAATAAACAGCATAACACAGTTGCGAAGAACAGTAGCCTAATTATTAGATTACCATTCCACACAATAATGTTCTACTGTCTGCACTGTCATTTACTTTAATGCATACTGTATTTATAAATGTACAGTACATGTATTGACTGGAACAAAGTTATTTTCAAAGGCTTTTCAGTAATAATATTATACTCTCTACCCTTAAAGAATGAAACTTATTTAAAATTTACATGTAAAGATAGGACTGCCTGACATTTTAACATAAAAATTCTCCTTATTAGGGACGAAGAATGGTCCTTAAAAAACCATGGGTCTCGTAAAATTTTTGTCAAATTTCACAGGTCTTGCAGTCTCATTTTTTAGCAGTTACTCTGTGTCATGCAACCTCCATTTTTTCACAAAGCTATCCCAGAATCTCTTTTTGTTTGCAAGGTTAACAAAGGCTCAAAGTCCTGAATTTTTTTTTGCTTGTTTTCAAAAATGATGTCTGGACGTATTACAGTTTGAACGTTTGCAATCTCATTTAAAATTAATACTTTGAAGTCTCAGTCTCTCAATTCAAAAGGTCAATATTTCTCATGCTCGCAAAGAAAAACGCTAGTCTTGCCTTCTCGCATTTACCATTCACTACCCCTCTTATTTCTTTAAGTTCTGACAAAATATTTTTGGTTTCAGATCAAGGTAACTTCTGGAACTTAATAAATTGAATTATACAGGTACTACATTACCTTTACTAATGTCTTCATCACCTTTCAGGGGCAGGTCAGTTTGTCCTCTGAGGCGTCGTACAACTCTCTCCGAAACCTAAAACAAAAGATCATTGAAAACAGTTATCAGCCTGTCTGTTCTCTATTGTGTTTCAACATCGCCATAGGATTTTTCTAATCTTAATCAAGCATCAAGACCACTATGCACCATATGACTAAATCATGGTGCAAAGAAAACAAGTTTTAAGGATTACCCTTTGGGCAAGCTTCAACCATAATGTACTAGCCAGAATATTATTCAAAGTTCATGTCCTGAATTTTTGTGCATTTTTGCGGTTCAATACGTACAGTAGAGCCTACATTGTACTTCTAGCACCTTTTTTGCAGGCAATCTCTGAGATTTCATTTTTTCAGGTTTACCTTGCTGACATAGGGGAAGAAATTGACAAACGCTGCCAGCTTTTCTTCCTTTTGTGATTTTTTCTTTTTTTACCCAAAATAGGGNGGGGGGTCCCTATCCTACATGTAGATCCGCCACTGAGATGATTAATGGTCATCAAATAAATCCAGATTTGGACATTTTCCGTCAGTTTCATAAACATTTACAAAACATGTTGACACTGTGCTCACGTGCTAATATTGATGAAAGGCACCCTTTTAGACATGCATTAGTTGTTTGATGTAAGTTCCCAAGAACCCAAAGGAATGATTAATATATAAGCTTCACGCTGCAACTTAAGGTTCGAAATTCTACGGCAACTCGCATGCAGTAATGAGCTTATACCAGGTACTTCAACAACATATATTAACTTAATTTAATAGCATTACGTACAAGCTTAAAACACACTGAAACGAAAATATGGTCAGCTGAATTACTTAGCTACATGTTATATTGGAACGGAACCACCATCCTTTACATAAAGTCGTTAAAATCATCACTTACTTTTACAATTCCTGGAGTTCCATCCTCTCCTGGTCTCTCGACGGTCAATCTCTTTGTAGATTCACTGCTTCCCATTCTCTTTTTCTACCCCTAATTTCTAAGTCTTTCTCGATTACTTTCGTCCCCCGATGGTCGCCATGATGGATTTGAAATGTGCGCCCGAGATAAAATAGGGGCAGCGGAAATATCACCATAGCGACGGGTTCTAGAAGTCGACATACCTTCCCGAATGTTTTCCTTTATTTTGAGAAGGAAAATTGTGACAACTTCTTAATTAATTGTCAAAGTTATCCCTATTTGATTTGCAACTAAAAGAGACACCTTCACGATGAGCCGTTTGAACCCTCTACAACCTGGTACATGCAGGCGAACAGTGAGCCTTGAAACAGTTCTGGGGCATCACGAAATTCAAGAACACAAGCTACGTGGCAAGAGGGAAGCTTACAAGAGACGAAACGATTTGTACGTAAAAGCGATGTACGGAAATCCATTGGAAAAAGAAGAAGTGAAGTAAGTTTAGTCTAAAAGTCAAGGATAATTGCTTGAAGGCTATAAAAGACGTTTTAACCTCGTTGAGAGAAGTGGCAATGAGTCAAACAAAGAGTTAATTAACTTCCGTCACTTAGAGGAATCCAACATTCTGCAATATCATAAGGTGTTTATCGCTTCTTCTGTTTTTTGAAGAGCCA